TCCAGGTGGGTCTCACAAGAGCAGAGCAGAGGGGGAGAATCACCTCTTTTGACCTGCTGGCCACACTTCTTTGGATGCAGCCCAGAATTCAATTGGCTTTCTGGGCTGCGAGCACACACTGCCAGCTCATGGGAAGTTTCTTGTCCACCATCATGCCCAAGTTTTCATCCTTAGTGCTGCTCTCAATTACTTCCCCACAAAATCTGTAGGCGTGCCTGGGGTTGCCAGGACCCAGATGTAGGACTTTGCCCTTCATTTTGTTGAACTTCATGAGGTTTGCATTGTTCCACCTCTCAAACCTGTCAAGGTCCCTCTGGATGGCACATCCCTTCCCTCCAGTATGTCAGCTGCCCCACACAGCTTGGTGTCATCAGTGAACTTGCTGAGGGTGCACTCAATTGCAACTGTCCATGTTGCTGACAAAGATGTTGAACAGTATTGACCCCAGCACTGACCCCTGAGGGACACCACTCGTCACTGGCCTCCACGTGGACAATGAGCTGCTGACCACAACTCTCTGCATATGACCAGTTCTTTATCCACTGAGTGGTCCATCCATCAAATCCATGTCTGTCCAATTTAGAGACAAGGATGTCATGTGGGACAGTGTCAAATGCTTTGCATAAGTCCAGGTAGATTATATCAGGTGCTCTGCCCTTATCCACCAATGCTGTGGCCCCATCATAGAAGGCCACCAAATTTGTCAGGCATGACTTGCCCCTGGTAAAGCTATGTTGGTTATTACTAATCACCTCTTTGCTTTCCATATGCCTAAGCATTGCTTCCAGGAGAATCTATTCCATGATCTTGCCAAGCACAGAGGTGAGGTCTATAGTTTCCCTGGTCTTCTACTTTCCCTTTTTTAAAAGTGGGGGTTATATTTCCCTTTTTCCAGTCATCAGCAACTTCATCTGACTGCCAGGATTTCTGGAAAATTATAGATAGTGGCTTAGCAACTACATCTGCAGCTTCCTCAGGAGCTGAGGATGAATGTTATTGGGTCCCATGGACTTATGTACATTCGGGTTCCTCAGTCTCAAACCTGATTCTCTCTTACAGTGGGCTCAGGGGTTTCATTCTCCCAGTTTCTACATTTGTCTTTCTCAACCTGTTCAGTATGGCTGGAGCACTTGGAGTTGAAGACTGGGGCACAGAAGTCATTGAGAATCTCAGCCTTTTCTATGTCCAGGGTATCCAGGTCCCCTGTTTCCTTCTGGAGAAGGCCCACGTTCTCCCTAGTCTTTCTTTTGCGTTCAGCGTATCTGTAGAAGCCCTCTTTAATGCCCCTGGCTAGCCTCAATTACAACTAGGACTTGGTTTCCCTGACCATGTCCCTGGCTTCCTATACAATTTCCCTGTATTCCTCTCAGGCCATTTGTTCTCACTTCCGCCTCCTGAAGGCCTCATTTTTCCTCTGAGTTTCCTCAGCAAGTCCTTTTCTATCCACGGAGGCCTCCTGGCACTTTTGCCTTATTTCCTCCTTGTTGGGATGCATTTGTTCCTGAGGTTGGAGCAGGTGATCCTTGAATAACAGCCAGCAATCTTGGGCCCCTCTACTTTCCAGACTTCGTCGCATGGGACTCTGCCAAAAAGGTTCTTGAAGAGGCCAAAGTCTGCTCTCCTGAAGTCCAAGGCAGTGACCTTGCTGCACACCCTCCTCACTGCCCGCAGACAGGGGAGAACCTCTCTGAAGGAAGAGCTTGCCTGAATTTACACATAACATAATCCTGCTGGAGTACAGGCTAAGAACATGCCTGTTTGCAGGATCAGGTCTATCTCACTCGCTTTTCAATGTCTCATTCTGAAAAACAGGTATGTGTGACCCTTTCCAAGGCCTGTAACAGTCAACATAATTTGTTTAGATGCAAATGTATTTTACTGACCTTTTTATTCTGTGCTTGTAGTACCTTATTTGGAAAGGGGAGATAGGGAGGAAGACAAAATCTGCAACCTTTAATATTCCCCACAAAAGGCTGCTTCTGTTACTCAAATTAAAGTTGCAGTGTTCTATGTGCTTGTGCCTAGGCTTTTCAGAAAGTGGGACATACTGAACAGCAGGAAAAAAACCCAGTGGAACCCCGGGTGACTTTCAGATATCAAATCATTTGCCCATTATTTACAGTTAGACTGAGAAACTGAGATGATGAGTTGCATGAGTCCATCTTGAATAATCAGTTATAGGGAAAATAACTGTCCTTCCTCATTCGACCATCATCAGCCCAGGGTTTTCAGTGGCAAGGGCTAACAACCACTCAGCAGCTCAGGAGGTGGTGTTAATAATTTCACTTTATTAATTAGTCAAAGCACAACCAAATCTATTTGTGTCTCACTTTCCACCTTCTCCCTGTGGCATACTGACTAAATATGGAGGATAAAGTTTCCTAAGAGGGGACACTGGATCTGTCAGTGGATCAATGGACTTGCATAATCCTTGTTTGGGATCCTTCAGAGTTACTTCAACAGAAATACCAACAGCACAAACTGCCAGTGGGCTGAAGCGAGTCAGGACCTGGGCAGGCAGCAGTGTGTCATGCTGCCTCCAGTGCAGGTGGGACACCAGGCTCCTGGACGGGCCCCTGCCCTCTTCCAGGCACACTCAGGGAGACATAGTGTCTCCACCCCTTATCCTTACACTGCAATGCTGGGGATGTCATCATCATTCCTCTGCGTGGGCTGGAAATCTCCTGTGTGATGTCAGCTGAATCCTGTTTAATTACCATAAACAGGCTACAACTACTCTTGTCACATTCTTCTTTCTTCTGCTTTGTGTTCATAACTCTGATTTTCAGTTTCTCCCATCTCGCTCTCTCATGCAAGTTCGTGCAGACTCTCTGGCTACACATGAATATCTTTCTTCAGAACGAGGTGGTGGGAGCAGTGATTCCTGCAGCCACAATGACAGTCTGAGACTCCCCTCCCTGCCACTCGATCAATACAGATCTCTGTGCATGTAAAGAGCAC